AAAGAAGAGGGAGTCAAACTATTTTCCAAGGCATCTGAGGGTAGAACAAGAAGCAATTGGTGGAACCTAAAAAAGGAGAGAAGCAACTTAGAACTGAGGAGAAATTTCCTGACAGTTAGAACAACTAATCAGTAGAACAGCTTACCTCTAGAAGTTGTGAATGCCCCAACACTGGAAGTCTTTAAGAAGATGTTGGATAGCCATCTGTTTGAAATGATAGGGTTTCCTGCCTAGGCAGGGGATGGGACTAGAAGACCTCCAAAGTCCCTTCCAACTCTGCTATTGTATTGTATGAGTACCCCAAATCTTCTCTGAATCTATGTGAAAACATTTAGCCTTAAAAAAAACCCTCTGTTGAATTATTGACATAATAATTGTGGCAAAAATATGAAAAAAGGTGGATTATAATTTAGTCAGAGGAATTTTGGATTCATTTTTCAATAACTTTTAAAGTACATTAGTGCTTAGTTTCTTTAAATATCTGAATATCAGTCATCCAGGTTTGTCCCTATGATTCTTTTGAGAAGAAAAAACAAGAAAGTCCAGTTGCCTCCTGAAAAGCACCTTTGGGACAAACCTGGATGACTGAGAATCTCTATAGCCTTTTAGCTATTCAATTTGGATGGTATGGGAATAAGGAATGGATTTCCAGAGGAAAAAATGCAGACTACAGGAACCAGGAGCACTACTCAGGTGACCCTCAGGTGACCCAGACAAACCTCCAAGTACTCCAAAGACCAGAGGTGGGTTCCTGCCAGTTCTAACCCGTTTGGTAGAAGAGGTTCGTCAAATCTACTGTACCAGTTAGAAGAGGTTCCACTGGTGGACCTGGAAGTAAGTTCCAGAATGCCTGACCCCATCCTGTCAGTCACTCACTCCCCCGCCCGTCCGCATTAAACTAGCCCAGCCAGCCGCTCACTGATTGGTGAGAGTCCAGCCAATCAGTGAGAGAGCTGCAGTCAACCTGCCTGCCTCTAACACCCATTTAAAAGCATGTGCCAATAGCCAACATCCCTAGCAGCTGTCACATCGCGCTTGCTGATCAGATCCTTCCTTCGGTTCGCTTCGCTTCACCTTCCAGCATCTTGCTGCTTTCCTCAGGTAAGCAGCTAAGAGCAAGGGGGGGTGGAGGCAGGAGGCTAGTGTACACCAGCTCACAACTTTCACGACAGAAGGCCTTCAGGCTTTCCCTTGTGAAAACCACAGGCTGGCGTACGCCACATGGCTGAAAGGGGCGTGGCGGCAGGAAGCTAGCATATGCCAGCCCGCAGCTTTCACGTGGGAAAGCCTTCAGACCTTCCCTCACGAAAGCCATGAGCTGGCATATGCCGCATGGGCAAAAGTGGTGTAGTGACAGTGGGGATTTAGTGGATGCCAGCCCGCAGTCGAAAGGGGGTGGGTGGCAGCGGCGGGAGGTTAGCATATGCCAGCTCACGGCTTTCACGAGGGAAGGCCTTCAGACCTTCTCTCCTGAAAGCCATGAGCTGCCATACGCTGCAAGGCCAAAAGGGGGTTTCCTGCTCCCCCTGCCCCCCTCCAGTCCCCAGCCTTGCCTGGCTGGCTAAGCCTGCCAGGGGGCGGGCCTAGTTGACCCGATTGCCCCTTGTCCCTTCAGTCCAGCTTACCTGCTGNAACAAGACCTTTTGCTTTCCAATGCCTTGAGACGTAGCTTTAAAAGAGAATCTATTCTCGTTCTATGTCTAAGTAAGGGGTGGGGTATGTCCTTAATACCACACTAAACTTTATATGTACACCACGTGTGAAGACAGAGAAAACCCTCTGCAGTAGAGGCCGGATTTTCTCTATGATGCAGCCTACAGGATAGCAACTCATGAGTCTGGTGAAGAAGGGAAGCTCAAAAACCAAAAGGCAGATTTTCTATTCCTGTCTTTGAGCAAGTTGGAGCTTTGCTAAAAATAGGGACTGTAGATCTAGTTCTCGAAGTTCTAAAAGAGGTTTCCTAAATCTCTAACTTCATGATAGCAAAGCAATGCACATTCAAATTCACTGCCATTACCGTAATTGTTGACAAGTTGTGTTATATGGGGCACCTAATAGAAATGGTTAGTATTTACCAACATTGGGATGCTCAATCTGGAGTCAGTGTCCTAAAAGATGAGAGCTACCTGAGCGATAGCTATTGGCTCCTAATCAATTGTGTAAGTTACCCAAATTGGTTAGTTAAGATAATTCAGGCTCAGCTGAAACAGCACTCTATACATGAATCTATGTCGTTCTTCACATATTTAATGACTGGTCCACTCTCCCCCACCCTCACCCCAGGATTAATGGTGTCTTAATAATTAAGCCTTTACTCAAGGATAATTTGAGCTGCAATCCTTCCTGTATCTTTGAGTAGCTACTCAATAACCAAATTGCTGCCTCGCCTGGTAAAAAAATGTACTATTACTAACAAAGAGGACCAAGTACAATACTGCAGTGCTTTTAATGACAAATATTATAGACTTCGAAGTCACAGCTTGTTCTTACTTTTGCAGTAATTTTGGCACTGACCTGACAATCAAATACTGTCCTTTGGCTATTTAATTTACACGAGTGGCTCACAAATGGATTACAAATGTGTGCAAAGAAAGATGTGCCGCAATACCAGACCTTACGAGGCATCTTGGGGTGGAGAAGGATTCTGAGTCTCAGGCTCTGGGGGAGGAGGAGGAGCTGGCACCATGTCCTCTTTCTTCTGTGCAGCCAGGAAATCATGAATTGCCTTCTCTATCTGTGGCCTGAAGATGTGGTTAAGTTTTGGATCCACCACCTGAGAAATAATTCTGTCCACTCCAGCTTCCAGCATCCCTGACCTGGGGCAGAGACAAAAGAGCCATTCAGCTTTGGTCAAAGATCTTCCCTGCTGCCCCCACCTAGAGCTCTCTGGAGCCATCATGTCAACTGCAATTAGTCTTACAGTGGTAAGAATGACAGCATTCTTGGTAGCATTTACATGGGAGAAGCACCCAAACTTTTGTAAAGAAAACCCAGATGGCTCTGAACCTGCACTTTCGCGGGTGCTTGCAAAATGGACAACAGATATGTGGTCGGCCAACCACTTAAAATTATTGTGGTTAGACGTTGCGTTAGGGTGACTTGTGGGATGCAAATAAGAACAAATAAAAACATGCCTTCACACAAAGCAGAAGGGGGAAGCACACCCATTGTGAAGGATAGGTGGGTGGGTGGGTGAGGGAAGTGACCTTTTTGGCTGGTACAAGAGAAGGAGAGAAAGGTGGCCTTCACCCCAGGCTCTACCACTGTCAATTGCGCTGACCTCTGCCAAGTCTAGACATATGGGAACTTTTTTCACAAGACAAAAACAAACACTTGCAACACATGACAAAGAGCTTTTTTGAGAACAGTGTGTCAAAACCCAAGCAGTGAAATTGCTTCAAGGCTGTGTTGGATAAAGAGAGCAGGGAATCAGCTGTCTGGTTGGGTTAAGTCATGTCTGCAACAAGCCAGGAAGCAAAAACAGACACTGAAGAGCATTTGGGAACGCAAATGCAAACCTAATGTGACCCTACCTCCTGGGCAGAAAACTAACAGTACCTGCTATTTTGAGGCTATGTGGGCACTTAAGAAGATCAGTATTCTTTGACACTCAGCCTTTCAGAAGGACAGGCCTAATCTGGCATGAACTCCGATCTGCTCCAATGCTTTTCTACCTCCTACTTGGTGAGTCGTGCCTTGTTCTGCAATAGTAGCTCTATGCAGTGCAGATAAAGGCTGCAATATTGCTATTATAGTGGGAAAGTTTTCTATTGTAGCAGAACTATACCTAGAAACCATCACTAGGTGCTCTGAGAATCCACAAGATTAACACAGGCAGAATTCAATTGATGATGTTATATTTATCTTATTTCTGAGGCAAACTTATTAAGTGAAAAAGAAGGGTATTATGCAGGGCTGGGTTCCTGCCGGTTCTAACCTGTTCAGTAGAAGAGGTTCGTCAAATCTACCGTACCGGTTAGAAGAGGTTCCACCGGTGGACCCGGAAGTAAGTTCCGGAACGCCTACCCCGGCCCTGTCGCTCGCTCGCCCCACCCGTTCCATCGCAGTTTGTTCGCTCCCCCACCCATCCGCACTAAACTAGCCCAGCCCGCCGCTCACTGATTGGCTGGAGTCCAGACAATCAGTGAGCGGGCTGGAGTCGACCCGCCTGCCTCTAACATTCCTTTAAAAGCGTGGTGCCAACGGCCAACATTCCTCTTTTGAAAAGTTTTTCTCGATCCCGAGCAGCTGTCGCATCGCACTTGCTGATCGGGTACTCGCTTTGCTTCACCTTCCAGCAGCTTGCTGCTACCCTCAAATAAGCAACTAAGTGCGAGGGGGGAGGGCAGCGACGGGAGGCTAGTGTATGCTAGCCCGCGGCTTCCACGTGGGAAGGCCTTCATGCCTTTCCTTGTGAAAGCCGTGGGCTGCAGTACGTCGCGTGGCCGAAAGGTGCACAGCAGCGGGAAGCTATCGTATGCCAGCCCATGAAAGCCGTGGGCTGGAGTAAGCTGGACTGAAAGGGGGTGGGAGGCGGCTGTATGTCGCATGGCTGAAAGGTGCGTGGCGGCGGGAAGCTAGCATATGCCAGCCCGCGGCTTTTGAGTGGGAAGGCCTTCAGGCCTTCCCTTGCGAAAGCCGTGGGCTGGAGTACGCTGCGTGGCCAAAAGGGGGTAGGCGGCTGTACACCGCATGGCTGAAAGGGGCGCGACGGCGGGAAGCTAGCGTATGCCAGCCTGCGGCTTTTGTGTGGGAAGGCCTTCAGGGCTGGAGTATGCCGCATGGTCAAAAGGGGGTGGGCGGCGGTGGCTGTACGCCACATGGCCAAAGGGGGCACGGCGGCGGGAAGCTAGCATATGACAGCCCACGGCTTTCACGTGGAAAGACCTTCAGGCCTTCCCTTGCGAAAGCCACGAGCTGGTGTACGCCACGTGGCCGAAAGGGGGTTTCCTGCTACCCCCCGCCCCCCAATTCCCAGCCTCGCCTGGCTGGCTAAGCGTGTCAGGCGGCAGGCCTAGCTGACCTGGTTGTCCCTTGTCCCTTCAGTCCAGCTTACCTGCTGCCTCGTCACCTGCCTGCTCCCTGCTACATCCATTGCACCGGAGAGCTGCTGATTCTGCCTGCTGGTAAGTGACCCGGTTTTTCTTTTCTTTTATGCTTTTAATGTTTTTTTAAAGAATATTTCATTTATTGTGCATAGAATTTTTAAAATCATTTTATTTAAAAGTATTGAGTATAGAATTTTAAAAAATGGTTTAATTTATTGTGTAATACTTTTAACTGGTTTTGTTTTAAATTATTGTGCGTAGAATACTTTAAAATGGTTTTATTTTTAATTATTGTTTGTAGAATACTTTAAAATGGTTTTATTTTAAATTATTGTGTGTGGAATACTTTAAAATGGTTTTATTTTAATTTATTGTTGGTAGAATCTTTTTTTAAATTGTTTTAGACTATTTAAAATATTCTATCAACAATAAATTAAAATAAACCATTTAAAAATATTCAATATTCAAATACTCAATATTTTTAAGAGTTGTGGATATATGTTTAAATGGTTTATTTTAATTTATTGTGTATAGAATATTTTTAAATGGTTTTATTTTAATTTATTGTGTATAGAATATTTTAAAATGGTTTTTAAGGATTTTTTTATTATTTATAGAATATATTTTAAAATATTTTTAGGGATTTTTTATTTATTTATTATTTATAGAATGTTTATTACAAGAAATGTTATTCCTTTTTGCAAATGTTTTATTTGTGATGCAATATGTTGCTTTTAAGTNTTTCCTTATTTTTGCCCCCAGGACCACTCTATAAGCCTCCTAAAGGCTATGCATGCCCTTTTTTTGACAAAAAACGTGCCCATTTTCGTGAAAAATGTGTCATTTTTGGGAGGTCTGCAGAGTGCAAAAACTTTTTTTTATTTACCTCTTCAAAATCTTGGTGTGTCTCATACTCTGAAAAATACGGTAGTTTATACAACCCAACAGCTTTACAAAGAAGAATGTAAATGACACACTTTATTAATTATTATGCTAACACAGAAAACACATCAGTGGAGGAGAGAAAGAAAGAAAGAAAAGAAAATATAAGAAAGGATATCACCTGATTTCATTTAGAACATTTTTGATTTCTTGTGTTCATTTGGAAATCTTTAATATGTACTTAGTTTTAACAATTTAGCTGCTTTGTAGTGACTACATTTAGTAAAACATTTAACAAATTATTGTGTTATAACAAATGTTCATTAAAACTAAATTTACATCATTTTCCTTACCTCTGTTTACGAATCTACATAATTAGAAGCTTGCTACGTTTTTATCCTTTTAGCTACATAGCAAAATACACTGCCACAATCTAGTCAGTCTAACATAGAATGCTGAAATTCATTCCATTCTTCAACCCATTCCCAAAAGTATTTCAATGATTACATTTACTAAATAATTACACATTTTTGGTATTTTGATTTTGATATAAAGCTGGCTGGAAGCATGCTAGCTAGGGAGAAAACAAGATTGTAGATAGGTTTAGGCAAAAAAGTTTAATACCTTTTCTCTCAAAACTTTCTTCTCTGACAAAGCAGACTAGCGCAAGGAATTTTGTCACTTCTTTTAGGTAAAGGACTGTGGCGTTATTCAATTTTATAATTGCTGTTGATTCTTTATCATAAGGTGTTCCGGCACCATCTTTTTTGAGCCTTAATAGCAAAAGATCGTGAAAGAAGAGAGTTGGGAAAATACAGCATTAATTTGTTATGGTCTAGAGGCTGTATTCTTAGAGAATTATTTAAATATAAATTACATATTATGTGCTTAGAGTATATCCAAATATAATCTACCGAATTATAAAATAGATGTGACAGTATTGGTGAAGATAACCACAGTAAATTAAAAGAATTCATATTAAATATAACAATGGAAACTATATGATACATAAAAGCTTTACTAACATAGTGCTGTTAGGTCAATTTTTAAGAATCCACAAAAAAAAATTAATACTAAGATCATAAATATACAGAATACAAAATGAAAATATACAGAATACAAAATGAGAAAACATTAGAATTAATCTACAATAATAAATATACAGTACAGAAAATGGGAACAGTTCTCATTTAATCTATTTATAGATTGAATATAATTAAAACGTAACATATATGAATACATTTTAAAAGTTGGGGGAAGAAAAAAACATTCAAACAGAAATGGGTTGGATGAAGAGATGGCAGTTCAACAGCAGCCTGAAAGCTTTAAGTGTGGGACCTTTAAATACTACAGGGAACAAACCTTTTAGACTTTATTGCAGAGACAGCTTACTTCAATAAACCACAATCTGCATATGCAGATTTTCTTGGATGATTTTAATAATCATCTAAATATATAGTGGTATAAAGAGAAAAGGTCTTCCTTTATTAAAAACCATTTAGACTTTGTATCTCACAAAACCAAACAAAAATACTAAATTTGGCTGAATGGCAAATTAAGAATCAATCAAATTGCTTTGTTAGATGTTCTACTCTTATTGCACCAGTTAGCACCATTACAACTGCTGAACTACGTGTAAAGGAAGCCTCAAACAGAATGCCCTACTGCAAAATAAGTGTGAAGTTAACAGGAGTACAGTTGCTGATTTAGATCTGCTTATAGATCCTCTATAAGAAACACTCGGGCTTCCACTGACTAAGAGAATTTTGATAATAACATCAAACTATATATTTATTTAGACTCAAAAATCAGTTTCTTATACTACAGGGATGTTCTGAGAAATAAAGTAATAACAAAAAGCAGAAATACCTTCTCTCTGCCACCAA